GTCATAAATAGTATAATTATTTAGATAAATTTATTTTTAATTTCATAACTTGAAACAGATATCTAATTAGTGTAGAAGCTACGGGTTYCCGWTCAAAAATCAAAAGTTGACGGTTACCTATGGTTTCACTAGATAAAAAAAAAAAAAAACTGAAGGTGAAATAATATTTCGGGAATAGTTAAAATTTATGTTTGTTTTACCTCGGATAATAATCAAAGAGGCCACAAAATTAATGTACATTTTTTTTTGTGTTATTAATTGCCTCATTTTGTGTGGTACACCTATTTAGCTCTTATAAAATCTCTGCCAATGTAGATAGGTGCCTAATCTCTAATGATACCAACGCGACGATATTATCAATTGTCATTATTTATCATCAATTTGGCAAAACTACGCCGTGCGATGACTATATAGGAACCTGCGTACCGTGCGCAACAACAAAAACCATTAAATACTTGCGTGTTATGTATGTATAGGTATAATAATAATATATGATTGCCTGTAAATTATACAGATAAGCTTTAATAATAATACCTAATGAATAATATAACAATAACAGAGTCATTATGTAACCACCTCCGCACAGTGTACCTATAGGCTATAGAGGTATATTATACTATCCATCTCGAGAATATAAGACGTATAATAGCATTGTAATTATTGTTATTTATTTTCGATGACATAAATAATAATAATAATTATAAGTAATGAACTATAATAGGTAATAACGATTATGATAATAACATTGAAATACAGTATTTAGGCCATGACGTAGTCAACAATAAAATAAATCTAGTTGCATCGAAACGCCGAAGATCTCGGACACACCCGCGCGCATTTGCGACGACTCCGCGTTATTATAGCAAGTACGCTCCAGTCGAACGGTCGGATCCCTCGAGCGCAGGAAAACCGGATGATCGGGCCAGCCACTGCCGTGCGCGTCTTTGGCGAAAAATACGACCACCGTCGTCGGACCGCCACCGCGTTCAGTGACGTTCGTTCACGTCTTTGGCGATAAATATAACATTTATATCAGCCTGTCGTCGGCCCGCCGGCCGCCATCGCCACGTTAAAAGCGTTCAGTCTTCGGTGTCGTACGAAAGGGCCCTTTACCTGCAGCAGCAGTCCGGCAGTGGACTTCAAAACGATCGGATTTGTCGGTTTATTCCGTGTCAATGGTCGCATTTCGCATTTGACCCAACCGGCCATACCTCYAATAATTACGCCCCGTCTGGAGAGGTGAGCGTCTGTCGGCGATCTATATACTTATATATCTTATATTACCTATACATATAGATGAATATATGATCGACCTTCCTCCTTTGTAGACTCTAAAACTACGGAGTTGTTTTCGATAAAACTTTAGTCGATGGGCGGTGGCAATTTCACCCTGTCGCACGATTAATTCCCTCGGTTCAACATTATGTTTACCGTAACTAGTTATAATCTTTTTATTATTTAATATAATTTATAGACTTTTTTTAAAATTTGCATGTTTTATATTAAATTCTGAATTTACACATAGGTACTCCTAACCCTTTAAATAGAWAGTATTGAAGTAAGAGTYTATAATCACCATCATTATCAATAGATTCTTTCATTCTTGGGGRTTAGGGGATTTTTTGTTTTTTTACAATTCATATAATAATATGTAATTATAGGCTGGCTCACACGTGAATTTTGTTTTAACACATGAAAACTGAATACCTACTCGTATGTTGATATTTAACGTTATCGTTGGTTACAGATACTAAAATAGTTATTATGATTGGGTATAATAATGTTCCATATTAAATTTTATATTATATTTTGTCTTTTAGTCTAATAACTATTTTATAAGTGTCAATATTGAGGATTATGTACTGAAAAAAAAATTCATGACTGATTTTGGCAAGAAATAATTGAGAATATTTTTAATTTTAATAGAAGAGAAATGGAAATGATTAGATGGGTTATATAGATCTGTAATCGGCTTTTACAGATATAATTCAGGTGGAAGTACCTAAATTACGAAAGTGCAAATCTACAGTTTTTGGCCAATTAGCATAAATATTATTTGRAACCCCGAACTAATTGTCAGAGGGTATTAATAGAAGCCACGGGTAACAGCAATTACAATTTAAGTAAAAAGGCAAATTGTATAACTGATACTTTAGAATCATAAAATCCTCGACTTGTTTTAACGATTCAAGGAAGGTTTAAATAAAAAATTGAACCAGTTATTTGAGGGGTTTATCCGCTGTTAACAACGTTTGAATCAAAACTACATATTTGTTTATTTCTATTTTCAATAATTAGTTGAATTACTGTACRTTATAGAAAACATGGTTACTTAATATTTATTAGTTATTACAATTCGCAACAGGTTGATTTCCCATCTTGGTTTCATTAATGTCTGTAATATAATTAATATTGTATAATAATTGATAGTATTATAATACACGTTTACATTTTATTGTTACCTGCAGGTGGTTAGGTTAATCATCATCGTTCCCAAATAGCCGTGTGGTACATTTCGCTAGGTGATTTTATGATGATGACATATTGTTTAATTGTTATTATATTATTTATATTCTCTTGTATCTATGAGTCGAGTTGTTTAATTGGACTTAAATTATTGCGAATTCTTGAATCGTACCTTGTGAGGTCGCTACAGGTCAATACCACGATTATCATTATTATATTATTATAATGATAATCATTACCATGATTAAATCAGAGGGTGGGATAAACCCAGCGAACATTTTTTATGAAATGCTGATTTTTATTCAGTTAAGATCATCAAATTTTTAGGTTTGATCAATATCCCCTTTGAAATTTTATTTCCGAAGTTCACCACTGTTTTTAATATATTGATAATCTTTTAATTGTTTTATTGTAATATTATATACATTGCATATCAGTTGCTATAAGTTATCTTCGTACTATTAGCACGAGAAACGAAGTTTACTTTGTGGTTTTACTGTTTTAGTCATTGAGCTATTTATTTTGTTCTACGTTGAAACAGCAGCTATACTATAGTCTATAATATATTTATTAAGTATTATATTAGTATTAATTATTCAGGTGACTGAATGATAATTTGCCTATTTAAATTTTAAACATATATAAAAAAATAAAGTCGAGAATTCATCATCTTGTTTATTTTGTATTAGTAGTAGGTAGGTACCTAATAGTTAATAATATAATATTCATTAACTGAATAAAAATGTAATAGGTGTCAATACATTGTTATTAAGAATTATCAGGATGGTAAAATTAATATGTTAATGTTTTGTTATCTACATTTTTATAACATGTATGGGATATGTTCAGTTTAATTTATGCTTGTACAGTGGTACTATGTATAGGACTTTGCACCATTTGGTACGTTTTATTATGAGACATTTTACAATTAGACACATGTTGTGTTTTGACAAATATAATACATTTATTCAAGATTACCTATTAAAATTCTACTTAGTATTGTTTTAATAGTATATTGTATATACATTATACATAGATAACATGTAATTTATCGTGTTTCGTATGATGACATTTCAAAAACCAGTTTATATACAAATATATTTGCTAGGTAATTTAAATGAATTTAATGTAATTTAAATTATTTATTTTTAGAAAATTCTTAACTTATATTCATAATATTTACACTTGTTCACTCTATTAGAGATTTAGGTGACTCTAATTAGATCATGGATATAATATTAATGTTTATAATGAATCAAAAAAAAAAAATTGAATAAATCATATAAAAAATGTGTGGTTATGTTCTCGACCTTGATATTTGTGTATATTTGGACAGTCTCATTCTAAACACTATTGATTTCGTCTTATATAGTTCATCGCATTATGATAATGCTTCAATAAAACATGTAATATGTATTTTAATTTCACGACATAATAAATTACAATATAATATGTTCCAAAAACTATTATGATTTTTTTATATGTTATTAATTTGTAATGTTTTATAATAGTACGCTCAGACGTATATTCCTATCTAAATAATGCATGGCTAAGATCTAAACGTGATCTAAAACCGTTTTGTCACTGTAATAAAGATAATTATTGATTAGGTTTAGAAATTATTGCACTCAAACAAATACAAAAAAGAGATTGAAATATATGTAAATAATATATAAGTATAGAGGTATGCACTAAAAAGTATCTTGATGTTCAGTAAATTCGTTATATATTTAGGTATATTTATTATATATACCTATGAAGTAATTTTTCTTTGTTTGTTTGTTCTCTGTAGATTCAAAAATTGCTGGACCGTTTTCAATAAACATTGGTATGTAAAATGTTATAGTTTCTAGTTTAATAACCCACGAATAAAATATTAAAATTATACTTTTCAATTTTTATTGAGTACGAATTTTTGAACCTAGCTAGCTTAAAATATGGCCAGTATAGCTTTGTCGGACTTCGAATATTTATATTTAAACATTTGTCATACGAATCATACGTAACAATAACTAATAGTTAAAATAATGAGTTTAAAATTTTAGATGTTTTTGATTATGTGGAAAATAGATAGCAGCTGTCTCTTAAATGTCTCCTCGAGTTGTATAGTATAAAATATAACTAGTTGACCTGTCAAACGTTGTAWAGCATAAAAATAATTTTTTCCAATCCAATAATTTGTCATCACTCATCAAGTATTGCGAGTAAAATTGAACATATAATTTTACTTAGTTGTACGTGTATATTTGCTTTTAGTTTTACACGTACTGCAGTCTGCAGTAAGTACTTTTTATTTGATTCAATCCTATATAGACTTAAGCTAACTATACACAATTTAAAAATAAATTTGCCCAATTGATATATATTATATACAGTGTATAAGTAAATTTTGGGTTATTCGCTTACAATAAATGACGTTCATTACGGTGTTTACCATATGTTAAATCGAGCGCACATATTATATGATGCACATTGTTGGACAGTAATATGCGTGTTGCACCGACAGTGCATCGCGTTGCAGTAATACAACTTACCGTAGTTGCCGGTAAGTAGTTTTCGTTGGCGTACTTGGCCGTGCCTGGCCACATGGCCTGCACGACCAGCTTGTCGTGCAGGGCCCTCCAGTGGCCAATCACCGGGGTCGCGTTGGACGTCGGGAAGCGGCGTCGCCTGCGCGTGGTCGTGTGCTGTTGGYCGTCGGCTTGTCCCGTCCACACCCTGCGGGGCAACACGCCGCTGCCGGCCAACATGTCGTGCAGGTAGGTTGGCCGGTCGCCGGTCTGTCGCCACTGTTTTAGTCTGTGGCCGGCAAACACCGCGTGCCGTTGACCGGCCGCTAGGGCCGCGTTGAGCAACGCGGCTAGCATGTAATAATGCATCGCGGGAACACGTGCGTCGTAGACGTAAACACCGTACGATATATTAATATAATATACGCGGGTTGACGGTGAAATATTCAGATCGAGATTCGGCCTATTGCGCGTTTTATATAGTAGTAATATATTTATAAATGGCTGTAAAAAGTATCACGAGAGCGATCGACGTCGATTAATTTTATTGTAATCAGATTATAATAAATTATAAAATATACGAGAGGCGAGACGTGAACGTTATATTATTATGATARTCGATAATATCGTTACGGTAAAGTCTTGCGCTGGCCGATGTGGTGCTGGTGCTGGCCCTGTCGCTGGCGGTTGCCGAAACTTATCGGCGATCGAAACGCCATTTTGTGCCCCTGCAGCAACACGTCGGATCGTCAGCTCGCATCACCCGAAGTACCCAGTCGACGTCGCTCGGCGGACTGCGGCGTGGATCCGGCGCACGAACTAAAACCGCGGATCCCGCAGCACGCATCTACAATACTATTAATGTGTAAAAGGACATGGACTATCGCCACTGTCGGATACATGATAATACATAAGTAGTGGTTTTGGCGGTCCGGCGCCACCGGCCGCTTCGACCTTGCGCCGCCACGCCGCCGCCGCCGGGTCGCAGAAAACCTCCAGTGTCCCACCACGCGACAAGCGGTTGCGGAGACTGTTTCGGACGAGGCGTACACGATATCGAATATTATTATTATTACAGAGATTTCGTCGTCCGATCAATAATTATCTCCAGTGCCATCATAGCGTTCATGTTGATATGATAATAATGTATAGATGTCGATGTAAATAAGACGATTTATAATAGACGACAGTATAATACTCGCTGAATAAAAAAAAATTTATGCTATGAGCGTCAATATAATAGTATAGCTATATAATAATATAATTATGATGTTATGTACTTCGGCCGCCGCCGCCGCCGCTGCGCATCCTTTCACCATATATAAAATAGCTGTTTGCGCGGACGATAAACGGTGCTTACAGTATAAACGCGTTTAAAAATATTATTTGTGCAACGCGTGTGCGCTCGTTCTCATTCTCTCTGGTTGCTGTATCAGTCTTTTTCTGTCTTTCTCTTTCACTGTGGGTCGATATCTCACGTAATATTATAATATATTATTACCATACTATCATA